AAGATAGTCTATAGAAGCCTCCACCTCTGATGGCCTAAAAAATCCAGGTATTATCCTTTAACAGAGAACTTAGCATTTCCTAATCCATTTTGCCTCTCCTAAAAGTCCTACCTAGCAGTTCATCTTATTGACTGCTTTCTGGGGCTAGTTTGTCTCACCCAAGTACTAGATGAAGAAAAGGCAATTTTTGATAGAGAACATCCTAATTTTAACATAAATTTTTTAAAGAAAGGAGACCAAAATTGAGAGCTTTCTAAGAGAGCTGGTACAGGTGTAGGATGTCAAATAGGTTTTGCTCACATGCAAATATGATTGACTGGCACTGCTTGGAGTGGCTTTGAGGACTGGGAGGTCCATTGGGTTGGTGAGTGGGGAGTTGGAAAGCTCGGTGATCAACTGATGATGTCTGTCTTGGGAACAGCAAGGGCTGTAGCTGCCCACACCTCCCTCCAATGCTGACCTAGACTGGTTACAATCAGATTGGGGTGAGGATTAGCTGAGCTCCCATGAGAGAGGGAATTAGGGCAGGATCCCGCTGGGCTAGAACACAGAGGCTCCCTGGTGATCACTGCAGACACCGGTGAAAAACACTCTGATTACAGACTCCAAAGGAAGCCGCTGGTATCTCAGGCTGACAGCCACAGGCACAGCTTCCCTGGGGGGTCCCTCAGCTCCTCCCCTCTGGGTAGGAGTCCTAGGCAGGAAAGGGCAAGAGATGATCCTTGAGCATGGACATGCTGGTCACTAGGACGTACATGCCCACCCAGAAGATCCCCAGTGGGGAAAAGTGGGCTTCTCAGTTTGGCATTTCCAACCACGCATTTTTACCAGGATGACAGACTAATAATTGTGCTAGTAATGGAAATGACAGTCAACATCCACAACCTCAGCCTGGGGCGTCCCCTTGAAGCCTCTAGGAACCTCCCAGGCTGTGTTGTTCTGAGACCCAGCACAGCCCAACGTCCTTCTGACCTCCTGAGGCCCAGACAGTCTACTTTCCCCTCCTTCTGCCATGCCCAGGTCCTCTCCCTGCCTGGCCCAGCTGCCCTGGCCACCTTGACCCATCTCCTTTGCCTGGCATGGTTCATAGTCACAATGGTGGCCTCCGAGAGGCAGCAAGACACCCTCACACCCTGTCCTGAGCTCTCCTACTGTCACCCTTGTGTTGCTCTTCCAGTTTCTGTGACAGTGGGCCTGCCCCCTCTGCAAAGGCAGATGGGCAAAGTCAAGAGCAATGACCCCAATCCAGCTGGGCATCCTCAATGGCTCAAACCCTTTCCCTGGTCTGTGAGCTCACTAAGGGCAAGACTGGGCTTTGCTCACCCCCCAATCTTCCAGCACAAAGCCTGGCACAGAGAAGTGGCTGGAGAGTGCCTGTGGCATTGGATTAGGATGGAAAGAGGCACAGGGCACTTCTGCCCAGCAACCAGGAGAGAGAAAGCCGCAGCTCCTGGACAGCATCAGATGGCCAGCAGGAAGGCAGGGCCAGTGAGCACCTGGGTTTTTTTCTAAAGGCCACAGCTGGCAGGCTCCTGGCCTCCCCCAAGCCCAGTTGCCACAAATTTCCATCATGTCTCTTGCTGTTTCTCTTTCCTCCCCTCCCTCGGGGACTCCTGCACTAGGCAATCCTCACACTGCTCTCTTCTCCCCACCATCTCCAGCACGGGCTCCCAAACTTTTGGATGGCATGTTTTTCCAGGAAGAATAGTGTATCGGGAGCAAGACCAACACAGAGTTGGCAACCTTTTCTTCTGTCCAATGAAGGGTCCAAAAACACAATAGAAACCATCAAAGAAGACGAAGACACCTCTACCCCTTCCTCATCTCCTAAAGACCATTGAGCACCCCTGAAGTAGGAAGGACATAATCCCAGAATGAAGAGCCAGCGTCCGGGTGAAAAATCCTATGGGAAGAAAAACGCCTGGCATTTGGTCAGTGAAAGCTTTGCCACCAGTGCTTGTCCTCGGAGGAAAGTCGGGAACCATAAAGGTACAACCTGCCATTCCTTTCCTTTTCTCTCACTGTCCCTCCCTCCTTCCCTCCTTTTCTCTCTTCTCTCTCTCTCTCCATCTTGCTCTCTCTCTGTCTCTCCTCTCACCCTCAAATTGTGGTGAAATACACATAACATAATATTTAGCATCTTAACCACTTTTAAGCACACAGTTCAGTGCATCCAGCCTGACATCACTTCTTGCCTTTCACTCCCTCCGGCCCACTTCCCCATCTGCCCTCTTCAGCCAGATCAGCACAAAGTGCAGGTCCCCGAAGCTTCTGCAAAGCCTCCCAGCCTCCCGGTCAGGCCTGTCTCCAGCCTAATGGAAGAGATAAGATCCCTCTTTACTCCCAAACTGGGGGCAGCCTCCCCATCCCCTGCAAGACAGGGCAGGCTGATGCCACCGGTCCGTTTGCTAGTAGTAACGCCCAGTTAAAACAAATTGTCCACCTTCAGGCCTTTTTCTGCCCTCTGCCTGTTATTCTCTTTGGCCCCCAGGCTGCAGAGAGTCCCTAGTTCCTTCCCCTGAAGCTGCCTGGAGATAAGCATCTTTGGGCCCCTGGTCACTTCAGGGAACACCAGCCAGCTGCCCAAGGCAAATGGGGCTTGAGAGATTAAATTGGGTCACGTCATCCATGACCCATTTCCTCTGGAAGGGAGTTGGTGTCAGTAAATGCATTTGCCTTTGGGTTTTTAATGCAATTCAACAAGCCACAGCCAAAGCGCTAATCCTGTGCTGGGCACTGGGGGTGTGGAGTTCTGTCATTCATGACCAAGGACCTCATCGTGAGACATTAGAGGGGCTCACCTTCCAGGTGGGTAATGTGAAGATGATGGTAGATGGCCCAAGGGAATGAGCAGTGGTGACTCTTCTCGGAGCTGAGGGCCAGCCCCTCAGGGTGACATATGGATGCTCCACTCTGGCCTGTCCCAGCCGAGCTGATGGGCAGAGTTCTGCCTGCTTGCCCATGAACTTCATTCCAGAGGCTACAGAGACTGCGACCTGGTAGAACCCGCCTGAAGCCCTCCTCCAGCCTGGGCTTTGGGGCCCTCGTTGCCCCATGTCGTGGGTTTGGACCCACTTCAGCAAGAGCAAGGTCTTTATATCTTTAAGCCTCCGTGTTCCATCTCAACCATGGGAGTAAAACAATATCAAAGCCTGGGGGCAGGTGTCAGTGTGGGAATTACATAAAGCAAGGCTGCCAAGTGCCGCCGAAGGGGGTCATGTACCCACGAGCACCAGACAGAGTGCGTTCTTTGTCTCCCTTGTCAGCGTTCCCTCTGTCCCACCACCACAGGTACCTCCTGGGGTCTCCTGGCCTCCTGCTGTCAGTACCTGCCCGTCCCACCCCATTCCAGCTTTTCTTTTTAAACACCCTCTGGGTCCTGCGTGTGCCTTTCCGAATGCAGAGAACAGACTAAGAAAGGGGCAGAAGGGAGAGATAGGCAGGGATAACTAATTCATCAGCCAGCCCACCGGAGGGTCTCCCTCCTCCCCTCCCTTCTCTCTCCCTCTCTTTCTCTCTCTTTCTCTCCCTCTCTCTCTCACACACACACCCCTGCACTGGACCACATGAGTGCCAATTTTTATAAACTCTAAGACACCTTTCATTTTGGAGACAGATGAACAAGCACACACACACACACACACACACACACACACATACACAAGTACCACGGCGACACCTTTCTCAAGCAGCACCTTAAAGCTCTGCATGGCTGTTGTCAAAGAGGCCAGAAACTAAAGCCATAAGAATTATTGCCTGGGCTTCCTTTAAGCAAAGAAGATTGCACTTGTACTTGAAAGCACCAGTGACCGGGCTGTTATGTCATGTTACAAGTATATTTATATGAAAGTACAGAAAATATCAATTCTCTTTTTTAGAAAAACAGTTATGCAAACAAGCAGACTTGACGGCATCATTATCAAAATCTTAAAAATATAGGTAGATATTCTCACCCCCGCCCGCACGCTCCAGCTTCTCCTCCCCCAACATGTGGTATATGTGACAAGCTGCACACATGCCCAGTGGCTGTTTTTTTCCTGAAGTTGCCAACACAGGGGGCTCACACCACAATGGGCAGGGCACTGCCTGAGGGCCATGGTGGCCAGTGCCCTTGCTGCCTTCTGGCCTTGCTGCCTCTCACTGTGTGGCCATGGATAAGTGTCTTCCCCTCTCTGGGACTCAGCTTTCTCACCTGTGAACTAGGAGAGTGGGAAGCTGCCAAGCCCCCACTCCATGGCTCTGACTTCCGGTTCCGGACATCTGAGCTTGGCTGTCTGCGCCTGAGGCCCCGACTCACTCGACCCCTGGTTTTCTGGTAAGGGGGTCGCCAGCAGAGAACGGCCCTATGGCTTGGTTACCAAATATCTAGAGAAAAGTATGCTTTCTCTTCTTCCCAGTTTGCCAGAGATATTTGGAAACCAAGCCACAGGGTTGTAGGATCTACTTTTTGAACTTTCCGCCCCCTGTAGTTGCCAATGCTGCATGTACTAGCCCTCTAGAAACAGGGTAAACTAAAGCAACCTGATGGAAGGAACTTGATGGAATATGGAGAGTCCACGGGGCTTGTTTCCCAAAGAATTGTTTAGAGGGCAAAATTATAAGCCTACAGCTTATCATAAAGCTGTTCAAAAAAAAAGAACTGGCTGGGCATGGTGGCTCATACCTGTAATCCCAGCACTTTGGGAGACCAAGGTGGGTGGAACACATGAGGTCAGGAGTTCGAGACCAACCTGGCCAACATGGTAAAACCCCATCTCTATTAAAAATACAGAAGTTAGCTGGGTGTGGTGGCAGGTGCCTGTAATCCCAGCTACTCGGGAGGCTGAGGCAGGAGAATCACTTGAATCTGGGAGGCGGAGGTGGCAGTGAGTGGAGATCGCACCACGGCATTCCAGCCTGGGAAAAAGTGAAACTTGGTCTCAAAATAACAAATAATAACAACAATAATGATAACTCAGAGCCAGGCCTGTGGATGGAAATGTAGTGGCCAAGTCACATTCTGCTTAAAGTTGTAACAAATACAGGTGAGTTTAAAAAAAAAAAAAAAATTGCTTTCTGAGTCAGCCCCAAGGGCTCTCCTTGGCAGCATGGGTTTCCTGCCCTGTGAATGTCCTTGTTGCCCAGCGCCGGGGTCCACGAGGGCAGAGCTCCTGGAGGAATACAAGGGGTCAGTGTGTGCGAGAGAGCAGTGGTGCTGGGCGTCAGGCCCTCTTAGGGCCTCAGTTTCCCCTCTACTTAAAGGGCCTTTCTGGGCCTATAACACCTTATGATTCCATAGCCAGATATAAGGCCCAAGGAAATGCCCTCTGAAGCTCTAATTTGCAGTTGAATAGACAAATTCCATTTGTAAAGAGTGGACATTAAGTATTTTTTTTTAAAGGGAAAATTTAGTGTTGATTTAGGAAGAACATGGTCCAGTTGTAAAGCACTTAGGAACTATCTAGAGTTCCCTGGCAAGGAAGGGGTGAATTTCTGGCCTCGGGAACTCACACGGAGTCACCGCGGCCCCAGCTAAGGTGGTGCATGGAGCCTGGCTCACCTACACCTGGCTGGAGAGGGCCTGGCTTTGGGTGGCCTGGGCTCCAGTCCCATGTGGGGATGCGCATGAGACTTTCTTGGCCCCGTGGACCTGCTGTTTCCGGAGTCCCTTCTGGGAAGGGGAAGCAGAGCCCATCAGACAGGCCAAACTCCAAAGCAGGTTCTCTCACCTCTGTCCTGGCCCCTGGATCCTGGCCTCTGGTGCAGAAGATGCTTCCCTTCTGTCCTGCAGCTTGAGCTCTCAATGATGAAAACTCAGTCCAAGAGCGACAGAAGAAACGTGTCTTTCCTGGGCACTGCCAGCAGGAGCTGCTTACAGAGTGCACCTCACCATTCTGCATGAAGTCTTAAAAATAAAACCTGTCTTCCCCCCTTTCTCCCTGAATGAAACACACAGAGCAGGATCCCCCCGCTTCATGGGGGCTCGGTGATCAGAGGCTGCTGAGCGCTGGGGTCCGGGCTCCCGCATGCGATGCCTCCACACAGCTGTGCTTTCTTAGTTCGGGGATCTGCTCTCTGCAGCTCTTCTTTTTCTCCCTTGATGTTACTCTGTCACTTGTCACTGCTATCACTGTACCTGCCTCTGGTCATTGTCATTTCTACTTCTGACACATGGCAGCTACTCTTTGTGGCTGTTAAAACTAGACAAGCATACTCGCTCTCATTATGCATAAAGCAAGTCACTGGGCTCCGAGTGAGGGTCTGTGCCGCTCTCCTGCGTGGCAGCTCAGAGGCTTTTCATTACATCTGAGTTCTGGGATTGGCTCTGGAGAAGAGTTTGCCATGAAAGTGACATGTTATTGCTCTTGCTTTCTAGGGTTGCCTGCAGACCAAGTCAACAATACCACAAAATCCCATTGGAGGGAGACATTGCTAGGAATTTTCTCAACTACAAATACACCTCATATATGAAGTTATACATACTGAGTATTTACATACAGGTCATATAAAAATTCTATACATTATTCCCTAGTCACATGTAGTACATATTTAGTATAAATAGACTAAGACGACACTGTATAAAAAGTAAGTCTGTTCTGGGAACGCTGACACAGCATTTATACGGATATAGCTCTGCAGTCTTTGGCCTGCCCCTGTTTCCAGTTTCCCGGGTGGGCATCCTCAGCCCTGGGACTGATGGAGGTTGGAGAAGAAAGTCACCTGTGCGCCCCAGTGGGTTAGGTGGGTGGTGGGCCATTGTAGCGCAGCATGAGCGTGAAGGAGCGGGCGAAGTTGTTGGCCAGGGTGCAGCTGCGGTCCTCTTCCCTGATGGGGAGCAGGAACAGCAGGAGGAGGAACAGCAGCAGGAGCAGCTGCAGCGGGAGTGCCACACAGCACACCCTCCGGAAGAGGGAGCCCCGTCCTCGCCACCGCCGAGTCTGCAGAACCAACACAGCACAGGTGAGTGGGCTCGGGGGCGCTGGGGGTGGGGGTGGTTCAGGGGGCGACGAAGATGCCCGGAGCGGTGGCAGCAATGAGCTGATCGTATGACAGCACACGTCTCTGTGTTCTCATCTGTGAATTGAGATGGTGGTGACGGTAAGGGTAATGGTGGTAAGGATGATGGTGACGGTAAGGATGGTGGAGGTAGTGGTGGTGGTGATGGTGAGGTGGAGATGGTGGTGATGGTGATGGTGAGGTGGAGATGGTGGTGATGGTGATGGTGATGGTGAGGTGGAGATGGTGGTGATGGTGAT